TCGCAATGCAAATGACTATGAGAGTGTGTTTTAGTGTGTGTGGGCAGCTTTGAAGTGTTTGTGCAATTTTTTAGGTTAAATACATTATTGAGTGATACACGAATACGCTTAAAAAACATGTATGCGAGTGTGTGTGTGTGTGTGCGCTAGTGTGTGTGCGAATGCTCGTTAACATTAAAAGTCAATGCATTTTAAATTTGTTTAATGCGCGCTTTTTTTGTATTTCCTTTGCCATTGTAATTAGCGCGTCCCCAGAGAGGGGACGCACACTGTGGGATGGGGCAAGAGAAATATGTAATGTAAACATACAATACATACTACAGGTAAAAAAGAAGAACAGAAATCAAGCTGACACATGAAAAAATAACATCAGAATATAATTTGTATCGCAGTTTTCATTACTCTGTCCCACTGTGCTCTCGGGCAGGTAATCGATGTCAGTAAATGATCAAGATGAAATGACGGACTGGGCAGGAGAGACCTCTCAAGCCTAGATATCTCTGTTGTGCGCCTCAGCCCCTCCCTCTCTATTTATCATCACTTCTCATGTCCCTCCAGGGCTGACATGTGTGTGTTTCGGCAGGCAGAAAGCACCGCAAGTTGAAGTTCAACACTTCAATGTCGGTCGCTGGGTCCCACTTCACTCTTCTCTCCACTCATCACTCTCCCTCCGACTCTCTCTACACGTTCTGCCATTCTTAATGTCTGTCGGAATATGTATTAGTCACTGTTTCTGTGGCTTCTTCTGTGCGGTTCGTTCTGTCCAATGTCTGTAGAGGAGGGACAAGGACATTGGCGCCCACATTATCCTGTGCCTGTTTCAGGCAGGCGACAAACTTAATGACGGGATATGCAAACATCACCTACTCAAGCAGAGGGAGGATAGACCGCAGCAATAAGTTGATGAGAAAATTGATATTAAATTTTCCACAAAATGTCATTCAAAACTTGCTGCTACCCAAAACAGGACCTAAGCTGTGCGGGTCATTGAACCCCAAAAAGAAGGCAGGAAAATGGGAACACTCGCTTATTAGAAACAAAAACGTTCATTGCCTGGCAGGCATTTAATTAAGCTGCAAACAGAGAAATATGACAAGGGGGTGCCACAGAAATGGGGGCGGCGGCAACATAATTATTAATTTTCACTGCACACGTTTCGTGGTAGTTGAGCAAATTTTGTGGCTCTTTGAAGTGCAAGATTGCCAGCACTTTGCATCACGAAATATATTGAAATAAATGCCTCACACGATTAGGAGAGGGGGTTGCAATATAAAAAGTGTGGGAGAGTACTCAATGTTTTTCTGTGTCCTTGTAGCAGTGTCTGCAACATGTTGGCATAACAATAACTGTCGACTGTTCGGCGCTGTCTGGCCAAATGGAAAGCACACAAAGTATATACACAGATAAATATGTACACACATATTTATGTGTGTATATGTTCATATATAGACACACCACAATGCATATCAAATGCTTAAATGACAACAGCAAAATATATCTGCCAGATGCAGCAGACAGTGGCAGCACCAAAATGTGACAAAAGCTGCAGGAGGCGGTTTCTTCGAGTGGTTCTCGAAGTGCGGGGCGTGGCAAGTACAGAGAAAGGAAAGGGGGCTACTTTCCTTCCAAGGGAAAGGATACGAAAGACTGTTACAATAAATGTAATTTTTAAAGCAGTCAATGCACATAACTTCGCTCTCCCCTTCTCACATGCAAAAGCAGCAACAAAAGCAACAGACCCAACGCAGACCTCAAGTTGAATCCACTCCCACCTGAGTGTGGGCGTAGACATCGCGCAGAAAACGAACTAACTTTTGCATACATTTTTTGCATTTAAAGAAATTTAATATTGCGTGGAATTTCGACTACAACGCAAGTCTGTCACACATGTTTGATACATGACCTAAGTCTATGGGACCGGGGAATGAATGTCCAAATACGAAGTTGTACTCTTTCCAGAGTCTGCAAAAATTCTGTGCCTGCCAGTGGCGCCTATCAACGGAAATTCAAGTCATTTCATTACAATCCATTCGTTTGCGAGGTGGAGCGAACCCTCGAGTCGAGTGTTTCGACCAAGATCTACCCATTATTCTAGCAGTATCTTCTATCAGTAAAGCCTCACATTTATTTGTCTCTGTTATAATACGCTTCCAAATCTGGATGGGCATCTGGGTATCTACAAATGTCGTGTCGAATATTCACTGACACTGGCAGAGGGAGAACGTTCGTAGAATGTGCAGCCATTAATCTGTGGACGCGTCGCCAGTCTAGAGTCCACTGCGAAGTGTGAAAACGGAAACCAAATCCACGAGGGTCTGTCTCGAAAAATTCCACAACCAGAACCCCCCTCCCAGCTAACGAACTGAAAATGGAGAGGAAATGTCATGTCAGCACAGCAAAATCTTAAATGAAAAAAAAAAGATCGCAGAGCAGAGGGAAAACAGAATGAAACAAGAAATAATATTTATTTTCATTCAAAATTTAAATTTTAGCTCCAAATTTGCTGCAGACAGAGAGAGCGTAAGAAAGACAGAGAGAGAGACATATGCTCATCAATCATCTATGTATAAAACTTATTTTACTGCTTAAAAGTTTGTTTTTGCACAAGAATTCGTTTCATTTCGGCAGCGACTAAGATTGATTGGCATATTAAAAACGCGCAGAAACAGAAACCAGAACCAAAAAAAAAACCAGGGCAGATTTGCCTTGAATCATCATCTTTAATAAGGAAAGGCCACACCCCTTCAAAGGATTAAAGAAGAGCACGATCAACAATTAGCAGATGTGCGAAGTGAATTGAAATCAAAATCCTCGAGGCTCTGTTAATTATAATTATAGCTGATTAAAGCCCTTATTCACATCCTTTTTTATTGGATGACGCAAATCCCTTGCCGGCCACAATGAGAATGTCGACAGCTGAAGAGGAGGTTCTGGGGGTCACATGGGCCATTGCTATGATATGCTGATTAAAAAATCAACGATGCGGCTTAAAGACCAGCTAAGGAACAACAACCCTTTCGGGAATCGAGTGGCAAATTGCTGAATGATTAACAAGTTGACTCGAGGCTTCATTATGACGAACCGGTTCCGTGGTTCAACATTCAACATCGATGCGCTTTACTTGCGCTTTACTTGCGCTTTACTTGCGTTTGGGCTTGGGGAAATCCTTCGGGCAAACAGTGGGAGATTCTGTCGGTCGGAAAACTTTCGAGTCGGCAACTTGTCCGTTGGAAAATTCCGAAAAAAGTTTTGTCGTGCCCTGGATTTTGCAGTATATGCAGAGGGTGGATTTATTTTGAGGTGTAGATTGAAATTATAGTGGAAATTCTTGATTAAGATGGTTTCAGGTTCTATGCTCAAGAGAGTTGAATACCTTCTCTATCCACAATGTCGAAAATATGCCACTCCCATTCGGGGATTTTACTTGGTATTTATGTACATATTAACCAACTTTTCTTCCAAACGGAAAGCTAGGCCGGAGTATAAGGTATCTTATAGTCGAAAGATTAATTTTTCGCTGCTTTGGGAAAGAAATAAAACCAGATAAAACTTCTTCCAGCCGGTAAATCCTAGACGGGTTTTAGACAAAAAAAAATTGAATACGCCAACGCTTGGCATTGTTTTGGTTCTGCTTTAGGTTCTGTTTTGGTGGTTGCATGGCATGCTGAATGGCATTAAATATTTATAAATTCAATACCGAATGCAATTTGAAATGCATGCCAACGCGGCAGACTGCCAAAAGGGTAAGGGATCCTGCTACAGCAAAAACAAATTGAATTGTAAAGTTTTTAAAAGCAATTCTCTCCCAAACAATGCTTCATCTCTCTCTGCTGCGAGCTCTTTTGGCTCAAACGTTGGCTAAAGGGGGGATTCCCTGGCGTACTAGTTGCAGATACAGATACATACATTTGCCAGAAACTAGTATTTCGGTATCTATGGAAAACATATTCAAAGCTCACCCACCAACATTAGCGGGACGGGGACAGGTGGTACGTGTAATTCGGCTTTTGTTATGCTACCCCTCTGCTCTTTCGTCTCTTTTCCACTTATCCTGCCATGCAATAGCTCCGTCTGCCACTTATGAAATATTCAAGGCGAACTCCAAGGATTGCTGCATCCAAAGGATACACACAATTATGGGTCTGTGTATTTCTGCCACATGGTTATTATTTCATGAGGCACGGGCTGTGGCTTGCGGCAGGATTGGACTCCCCTGCAACCGCAAATGGAGAACTTCGCCCTTGATTGCTTTCGGGGCTCGCTAATTGCCAATTGAAGAAATCTTGTGGGGGGTCTCAGATCATGGTTCAATAGCCGCTCGAAAGCATTATCCATAAGATTACCAAGGGGCCTATCCCTCATATCCATCCATTCCACTCCAACGCATCATCAACCGCAATGGACAACAATGGCAATCGAAACACTGCGTTTGCATTATTATTGGAACTGTAAACAGAAAAGAATAAGTAGGGAGGGAGGTTGATTAGGAGATGTACAAGGGCAGGGGATCAAAAGGGCACAGCTGCTGCTGGTGTTGCACGGTACTTTTTCCACCGAGGTTTTTCCATCGGATATAGCAAGACATTCTTGTTTTTGTTAGATTTTATGCTCTATTTTTCTTCCACTTCATGGAACTGCTCATGTGACTGTAAAATTGCTTGCTTGGGCGATGAATATTTCTAGTGTTTTCCCAAGAATTATGTGGGAGCTTTGGACGGATGCTGAGACTTCCAACAACAGCTGAAAATTATCTAATCAACTCTCCCTCCGTCCCTCCATCGGTCCCACAGCCATATCCAATGGCAAGTTTAGCAAATCGGGCAGATTTTTGTTGACAATTCCAAGAAATAGGAAAAAATTTTGCAAAACTATGAATTGTGGTTTCTCAATGGGCGAATGAAGGTTGAGTGAATGAGTCAGTGTATGTGTGATTGAATGGATAACTGGTGGTTTATATTAAAGATATATTAAATATATTTGTATCTAGTTATATTACTCACCTTGACTTGATAAGAATTCAAACGCGTATTTGGCAGCTTATTGAACGCCGAGAAATCCAAGCGACGTGAGAAGATGCCGTTGCAACCAGATGTCGAGCTGCAAAGAGATGGATAGACAGAAAGACAGATGTAAGTAAACTGATAAGGTAAATGCCACTACGGAATACGGTAAAATATGAATCAGAATACGAAATTCCATTCCTCGAGTAAAAATGTACATTATCATGACAGCTCTGACTCTGGGACGGTTGGTCGGGGGACACTGCATGTGACAGCTGACATGAAAAACGGAAATTGCAAGCCATCGGAGAGGCAAGCCGGACGAGAGAGTTATGATAATAATTTCACCCCCACACATACCCCGCCACAGCAAATGTACATATTTGGTACGGTTAAAGCCACGTATTGGCTTTCCAACAGTTTCCTCTGACTAATCGAATCGCAGTGGAACTTATGTTAATCCAATGCAATGCAACAATCAAACTGTGGGGAAACTGTTCCGAATGTATGCTAATCGCAATGATTTCGGTTAAATATTTAAAAGACAAATACTTATGGAAACTCTACTGTACTGTCCTTTTTCCCACTTGTAGAATCACTTGTGTTTATATTTATTTGAGTCCCATTTGAAGGCTGGCTACAGCTAACCCTCCACAACAGAAGGAAGAAACAAAACAGAATTCTTTCATTTTTATTTCACTTGATTTTCAGACACTCTATCTCCCTGTTTTTCGTCGGCTCCACTTCATTTGTCAATCAAAAAAAAAATTTTTAAACACATAAAAGACTGTAGATTAAAAAAAAACAAACAAGTCAAAGAATAAAAGACAAAAAATTACAAAATTTAAAATAGTTCCCTCCAGCGGCGTTCTGCTTCTCCTTCTTTTCTTGTGGCAAGGGGTCCCAAAATTTCTTATAAATATAATTATACCCTTTTCCAGATGGTCTAATCTTATGGCGAAGGTAAAAAGGTGAGTTCTACGGAGTCAAATACGTCGATTTCCTACCATTCTCCTTCCCTCTTCTCTACCAACAGTCGGAAAAGCAAATAAAGTTATCAACAAAAAGCCCAATAAAAACAAAGCGAAACGAAAGCAAACAAAAAATGTGAAAAAGCAAGAAGAAAGAGAGCAAATAAAACCAGAAACGTCAAAGACAAAGAGCAAAAAAAAACCTCGATGTTGTTGTCGCCGTCCCACAGACTGACCTTGACATTGAATAGATTTTATTTTGTGTGTGCTCTTTCTCTCGCGTTTAGATTTTATTATTTTGTGCTTGGTTTGTTTTGATCATCATCCTTCATGCTCTTGCTCTCTCTTGGGGCAATCTTATCAACTAGGCGGGAGGTGGGTTTGTGGGATGGAGGGTCTTGCATTAGCTCATGTGGAATTTCGACTTATCTGTGAGAAAATTATAAAGTAAACAAAATAAAACACTCGAAAACACTCTCTTATCTTGTCGGAACGTTAGCCATGCACTTTTGGTTACCCTTTCAGAGAGTATTTATGCTATGAAGAAAGACTATCCGATGGTATAAGGTACTATTTATTTTCGAAGGCTAGAATCCTACAAGACATGAGTCCACCGCCATCATTAGCCTTTCAACGCTTTCGCGCTCCACCTCTCAGGCTTTATGTTCACTTATGCCACAATAATTATTCTAGGGTATTACAAACGTCGACCTATTCTTACATTCAGATGATTTTTCACTTTGTTCCTTGTTTTAGGGGCCATAAAAATGTTATAATACGTTATTTATTTCACATTTGCTTCAATTATATAACATAAACAAAACAAAAGGTAGACTCTCTGTCTCGTCACCCTATCCACCAACCTCTCCCTTTCTCCCGCAGACTCTCTATACCTTACTCCCTCCCGCGATTAGTCATTCTGACTTATCAGCAAACGACAGCAAAACCGAGCGAAATTTTGTAAATCATACTTAAGCAATTACAGGGGCGGGCCATGGCAAATCATCAAATGAGTGGAACTTCGGTTCTGTAAAGTTTAATCAAGAACCACTTTCTGGTCTCCTCCTGACCCAAAAGAGGAGGATAAGATTCTGCTAATTTTGAGCAAATAAATTATAATTTGGATACGATCCGCAGCTGGCCTGCTCGATGCGAACTTTATTGTTTGCTTATTGATCCAATCCGTCCCCAGCATTCCCCACTCCAGATCGAGATGTGCACGACGGCTAATGAATTTTAATGGCCCAAATGCGTTGGCCTTTTCATTCTCTATACCCATTCCTATTATTGTTCATTTTTGGCCCGAACGCTTGGGCAAGTGTCTGTCCCGAACAGAAGTGGTCCCCATTTCTACACTTTGATACCCTTCTTTGGGGCAAGAATAGAACGATCAGCGGCAGACGTGACACAATAAAATTGTACGATCTTAGAATGAATCATAGAAATATTAAATACTAATTATATAACTGTCCTCTGAGTTGGTAATATTGGTAAGAAAAAACTAAATATTATTCTTACGGTATTTTGCATCATCTTTTGTATTATGTTTATATTTCGCAGCTTAATTTTGGCATGGCCCATTCAACACACTCTCAATCCGTCCCACAACTTTGCAGATTCATGATTCAGATATCCGTCTCCTGTCAGTCTGCCCTATACCATATAGCTTTCGTTGGAACAATCAGTCAGCATTCGATTGGTCCGTGGCCCGTGTTCTTCTTGTCCGACTGCTGACTTTCGAACTGCGGACGTTAAAGGGAAGGGAGCACTGTAATTTATAGGCGGCGTCCGTCCGTCGTTTGCTGCTGTCAGAGTGAGCCCCAAACGAAGACAAAGGCGGGGCGGAATCCAAATCGGAATACCAAACATCATCACATGTTCAGTGCGGAGCGCGGTTCCGAGCAGCTGACTTTGACCTTGGTTTGGCCGAAAACAAGCCAACTTGTTGTGCGGCATGTTGTGGAGCATACCCTGTAGAAAGGGCCATTCGAATGGACTTTGGTATGGCAACCTTCACTGAGACATCATGCTGCTTTTCAGGCTCTTCACTGAAGGATGAAGGATGACTTTAGGCTATATTTTTGAAACTAATCCAGAGGGTGTCTGTCATTCGATTACTCGCCGAAGCTCTTGCTTCTGATTGTGTTTGCCTTCCGCTGTGTATACTTTTCCTGTTTTGGCCCTAATTTCACACTAATTTGTAAATTTGCTTTTAATGCCAAAGACAAAGAGACGAAGAAACCGAAACCCGAAAAGAGCAAAGTTCCGAGCAATTTGTTTGTCCAACGAGAAATATTTGTGTACGTTCCAGTGTTACCCTCTGGAATCACAGAGGAGTTTAAGAGGAGTATAAAAATAAATTGGTGGCGGTAAGAACTACGGAGTACGGAGACGGGGAAGGAGTTTTTTCTATAGATAAATCCACCAATCACTTCATTCCGGGGCAATTTTCAATCACGTGCTAAGTGCTGCCAGACGGAGAGTCGATTTGTCTGCCACGTTAGCATTCAGCACGAATCCAAAGGCAGGAGTCTGATTTGTGTGCTGCATAATTTTCCGTGCCACAAAGAGGATGACCCCGGGGAAGGGGGCACACCATCAAGTGGCAAACTATTTGCCCTATCACGTACAAATTAAAAATGTGAAATGTTTCAATTTCAGTCTCTTCGTCGCATCGGTACGAGTCGAGTTTCGGTGTTGCTTTGGTCTATACTCTTCTCTCTGCTCTTGCCTCACAATACACGACTACGCGACTCGGTTCCACTTTAAGTTCGATTGCGTCTGCCTCTGCTTCCCCCTTAACGGAGCAGCAGACCCTCCCATCGGACTTATGTAAATTCATTTGAGTTGACTTTGCTTTGGCGCCCAATTAGTTTAAATTATGCACATATATGTACATCGCGCTCTATTGACAGTGCGTATCAAACATATAAGCCAGTTGGAGGAAAAGTTTATTCGGAATTCATAATTCGAAAGGGCTAATCAAATGCATCTACATTGGTGGCGCTGACTTATGTCTTTAAAACCCCCTGTCCATATCCAATATTCATTTCTCAAGTCTGCTAAAAATAGATTTACAAGCTGGTGCCGCGGCAACAATCCAAAAGTATGTCGGACTTGATGACTCTGATGTTTGTCAAAATTTTGACTCGTATTTCGATCCACTTCGATCTGTTATAGCCCACCAATTCGCCTCTGATTTGCATTTAAATGGAGATTTCGACTCGGTTTCGTCTTCCGCCTAGTCGTCGTGGATTTCTTTGGCCTCTAATCCAATCCAAATGTCGCCATCGAGCAATCGACAGACTAATTCTGGGCGCCGCCACCACTTGCCATTTTCTGTCTCCGTGTGATTCCTCAAGCTTCTCTTTCTGCCCGACCGACTGTCAGGGAGATTTGTATTTCTGATAATTTGATTATTATTATTATTTTATGTCGGTGGAGTGCTGAGACTACCACACCTTACCATAAATTAGACGTTGCCAAAAATGCGAGACAAATGCAAAAGTGGCTACAAAAAGTAAATAGACGAGCGGCGGTACACTGTTTTCGTGCATCACGTTTTTCCCATAAATAACTGTGGGCCATGCTTTATTCCCCCACCCAAATAGCCCCCATAACACCTTATTTTATTGCAGAAAATCAATTTTAAATTTAAAAAAAATATGTGTGCAACTCTTGTGTCTGCTGCTGCGGTTGCTCATAGTGCTTCTGGTTATTGATTAAATGTACCACTTCCCCGGGCAACCTGCCACATGCCACGCCCTTTCATTTGTTTGATTGAACTTTTTGCCGCTTATAACAGAAACTGCAGTTGGCCAGGCCAAGGCACAGACAGGCAGACAGCAGAGAGACACTTCGACCAACTAAAAGCCAAAAACCAACCACAAAGAAAAGATAAATCAATGCAAATAAGAGATTGGCCAGGAGGAGGAGGAGGGCTACGTAGAAGAGTGGAGACGGGGTGAAGAGTGGGAGTTGTCCAAATTTTAAATGGCAAAGTTGGAAACCACCGCCAGGGAAACTATCACTTTGAAATAAGTTTCCATCTCCAAAGTCCATCAAGATTTTTCTTTCATTTTTTTTCAGCATCCCACTTCCTCCCTGGGCAACCCCCGTGCATCCT